AGAAAAATTAGAGACATTCTCAGGTCTGTCATTATGATCCGAGATCGTACCATTGCGGTTCCTCAGTTCACCTGTATTTTTACGTAGTCATTGCATTTCTGCAGACACATATTAGCCGCGCCATGCCTTTATCGGCTAAAGCTTTAAGCATTTCAGGGCGGATTCCTTGATTCCAGTATATTTGTAACTTTACTAGCTTTATACAGCTTCTGTGATTTAATCCTCTGAAAGGTCAATATTCGCTGCCTGTTGTTCTTTAAGCGAGTTGCTTCCGGTTGAAGTGTTCTTAAACGCGTTCAATGCGTCGACGAAGTATTTCTTAATCTTTGGTATCAGAGTGTAATACGAAATTTCCATTCAGGAATCTTCGGCAGTCTTTCTTTCCATTTCGGAGGCTGCGGATGGTCTGCCAGAACACTTTACTTATAGTCTGGAAATTTGATTACAGCTGTCTGCATGGCGTACAAAACCACGGACCTGAGAGTGGCAATGTATAGACAAAATTTTGTGGAAAGAGTGACTTCTTTCTCAATCGAAATATTGAACAGATTTCCAAAAGTACATGAACATGAGGCGATCCTTCTGTTTAACAATAATTGAATAGTGCCATCGATGAAAACAATGGGGTCTAGGTACCTAAAATAGACAACCTCTGGAAGGGCATCACCACCCTGGTCCATTTGTTAATCAGCTGTGCGAATGGGCTCATTATAGCATTTGACTTTTGGGTATTTAGAAATAGGCCGTCTTTCGCAGAAACTTCGAAGAGGAAAGTCGTTAGGTCACAGAACGCGTCCACCGTATCACTCACCGGGATCAAAATCCTCTGCGTACTCCATGTCAGGAGAAATCTAGCCAGTTATCTTGAAATGTGCGTTCCATCTAGAATGAGACGTTGTTGTCTTTGTTAGAATCGGCAGTACTTGAGAGAAGAACGTTGAGTACATTGCTGAATAGCAAAAAAACATTTCTTTGGAGAATTCTGTAGACATATGAGAACAACTGAGACAGCTGTTCCTCGAATTTTATAGCTGACATCATTGTTGATTATGACTTTCAAAATGGCAGCGATGCGCTCAGATATTTCAGCCGCACGCCTCTCAAATTCAGATGCAACGGCGTAACTCTATTGAATTTATAAATCTAAAGTTACATATGCGCATCTTGCATAAATATTGATAATATTCATAAATCTAACGTTTCTTTCAGA